TTATAGACTTTAGGGAGGTTTTTGGACTAGGTGGGATGTTAGGCTTTGGGAGTTTGTAGGCTTGTTCAATTCCCAGTTCAGAGGTAGGATATTGGTTGCATTATGCTTAAGGTAAAGTATTTGGGTGATTGTNNTAAGGTTTGGAATAGCAGGTGGCTTTTAAAATGGTTTAAAAGTGTGGGGGGGGTATGGGGGTGTGTGGTGATATGAACTGGGAAATGACCCTTCCTTGCAGGCACCTCCACGTGGCTCCAACTTCCATCGAGGACTCTGGCAAACACGTTCCAGCTGCAGGACTCTTGCTGGAAAAGCCATTCTTGATGAGCATCTCTGCAATTTCCACTGGACAAGCTGCCAGAATCTCTGCCAAGGATGTTCTGCCTCTAAGCTTCGTGCGTCCTGGACCGGAAGTCGGCCTTGCTTTCTTGTCGGACTGACTTGTTGACGTCTGGTGTATTCGATTTCCTCTGCAACAGGCTCTGCAGAACCAGAAGCAGGGTTGGGCGTTTGGACTGGCGACTTGTTCTGCGCAACATGGTTTGCCGCTTTAAAGTTTAGGGGGTTTAGGGTCCAGGGTTTAGGGTTTGGTTAGGGGTGTAGGGTTTCGGGCTTAGGGTTTAGGGTTTAGGGTTTAGGGTTTAGGGTCCAGGGTTTAGGGTTTAGTTAGGGGTGTAGGGTTTCGGGCTTAGGGTTTAGGGTTTAGGGTTTAGGGGTTTAGGGTTTCGGGTTTAGGGTTTCGGGCTTAGGGGACCTCAGGCCCCACCCCCAACCCCCACTTCCACCCCGAGAAAAAAGTCGACTCCTCAACAGTCAAACCCTAAACCCTAAACTCAACATGAGCCAGAGAAACTCGCAGAATCCGCGGGGCAACTCTTGGAGCCCATTGTTCGCCAAGTAGAGCTCCTTGCTAAACCCTCCCTAAACCCTAAACCCTAAACCCCAAACCCTAAAACCTAAACCCAAAAGTCGGGCCAAGGATCTGGGGCTATTTTGGGCTTAGGTTCTCGGGTTTTTGGGTTTAAGGGCCTCAGCTTGAGGATTTGGGATTAGAGCTTAGGACTGGGAGGTTTCGGCCTGAACCATTCGGGGTTTGGGTTTAGGGTTTTTAGGGCTTTTAGGGTTGAGGGTTTAGGGCTTAGGGTTCAAATTTCGGGTTTCGGCCATAGAGATTCGGCTTCAGAGTTTAGGGTCGTTTTGTGTTCATCTCGCAGAGGATTGGTTGACGGGTCGGGTTTAGGAACCCTAAACCCTAAACTCAAGTTTCGGGGACGCATCGGGGGTTTACGGCTTCAGACCGCGGGTGTAGCCTTCAGCACTTGGAGGTTCACGGGCAGTTGTGAGTAGGGTGAAAAGCAGGATAACCATTGATACAACCTATAATAAGGGCTTAGGGTTTAGGGTTTAGGGATTATATCAAGGGACTTAGAACTCCATAGATACCAACCCATGAACCTCCAAGCAAGGACTGCTGGAAGGAGTGCGTTGCCAGGCCGTAACCTCTGGTGCAAAGCCATTGCAGTGCGAACGGGAGGTACCTGCATACTACAGAGGCCCCTTGGGGTACGCCGTAGAATGGTTAGCGTCAGGAACACTAAGAAATACTGTTGGTACTTGTTCGAGCCCGAATCATACTTCCAACCTGCAAAAACTCTGATGTAAGCCTACTATAAGGGCCTCAATAGGGGGAATAGCGCTTGGGGGGTTTATGCTAGTATTGCTATAACAAAGAACCCTAAAGAATAATGTTGGTAATTAAACCCTAAACCCTAAACCCTAAACCCTAAACCCTAACATTATTTAGGTTCCTATACTACCACGGATCGACCCTGGTCCTGCAAGTGCAGAAGCTGCCCTATGCTTTCCGGCAGCATGCGCAGCCGATTTCCACCTCGCCAGTGCGGGGCAGTAGGTTTAGGGGCTTAGGGTTTAGGGTTTGGGGTTCGACTTAGGGTTTTGGGTTTAGGGTTTAGGGTTTAGGATTTAGGTTTTAGGTTTTAGGGTTTAGGGTTTAAGGTTTAAGGTTTTAGGGTCTAATTAAGGCACATGATTCTGATCTCGTGTTGATTGTTCTCGCTTATTGTAAAAAACGGTCAGCACCGAAACATATGTACACAGACATGCATCGACAGAAAAATGTAGACAACGAGCCAGCCAGCGAGCGAAGGACGAAGGATACAGCGACACATGCCACTAGCCATCTACCTGTGCCGGCCAGTGCTGCATATGGATAGTTCTCTAAATGAGAGACCCCTTTGGGGTCCCCATTATAGTACGGCGCCCTTATAAAAAAGACCCGAAAAGGGGCCCTAATTTAGAGAACTACCCACATGTATTGATAGTGACCACACAATGCACACGAGCCCCTAGTCGCTAGTGAAGCCAGGAGGCCCAACTGCAGCTTTCGCAGGGAGCCCAGCTCTCCGATGGTGTCCTCCAGGACGTTCTGGAGGGCCAAAAATGGACTGAGGGTTACTTGACGGGCCTAAGGGGTTGTAAAACAGTTTCGATAAGCCCTCTAGCACGTTTTGAGGTGTCGGGATTGGCGGTCCTGCGGCGTTCTGGATTCAGGGCTTCAGGTTCAAGGTTTAGGGCTCAGGGTTTAGGATGTAGGGTTTCGGGTTTAGTTGTTAGGGCTTGGGGAGAGATTTTAGGGCATTGGGGGGTAGTGTTTCGGGTTTTTCATAGGTCTCGCATTTAGGGCTGAGGGCTTCGCGATTGATGTGTAGGGTGTAGGGTGTTGAGGTGTTCGGACATACGGAGATTTGAAACTTAAGCTTCCGGGTTTAAGCTTTATGAGGCTATTCCAATTTCAATTTACAACTTTCAAGAAACTCTTGCAAACCTAATTCCCAAGCCGCAAGTCCCACTCACATCACCTTCCGAGCCCTATAAACTGTAGAAGGCTGCACCCGAAGCCTGAAGGGTACTTAGGGGGTTGGGGGGATGGTTTAGGTTGGTACGCCGTCAGGAAACTGCCTTAACAGTTCATTGAGCGGCGAAAACTTGCTCTGCTGTAGGAAAGGCCCACGCTCGAGCATATGCCGACAGAACTTCTGCGACCCTTCCCCAAAAGTTTTGCATGCATCTATGTGCACAGAGCACCCTGTGCCACCGTTACAGGTTGCGGCATTGGCGCAACCCCGATGGCACGGAGGCCCTCCCCGGACGGAACCGTCCGAATTAAACCAAGTGCTCCGCGTTTTAGCCTGGGCCGTCTCCTGATCCTTCTTCGAGGATCGAGAAAACATGGCGACGACCCAGTGGAGCTCATGGTCTGGAAACGAATTACGACCGCCAACCTTAGAGCGCCAGCTGCGGTAGCGGTAGCGGTCGAGTGCATACGTCCTCTCCCGGATCCGTGCTTGCAGATTCTGTCGCATCTGCTTTGACGAATTAAGGCCTTCAGGGTTGGCCGCCCCCCCGCCGCTCCAAGTCCTCAGCCCTTTCGATCCAGGCGGGCGCCTGCGGCAGACCGGCCAGAATTAATGAGACATGCAGCACGAGCGCTACAGCAGTTCAAAAGTGGACGAGACAGAGAACGAGCGAGAGAGAGAGAGAGAGAGAGAGAGAGAGAGAGACACAGAGAGAGAGAGAGAGAGACAGACACAGAGAGAGAGACACAGAGAGAGACACAGAGAGAGAGAGAGAGAGAGAGAGAGGCAGAGAGAGAGATAGAGAGAGAGAAACGCCAAGAGTCCTCCTGGATCTGCCGCTGCACCGCTGCACGTAGTCGAGCTGCTTGCCGATCTCCTTACCTCGGTGGATCAGCCGTCAGGCGCAGGATGCCTTTCCTTCGAGGCAGCTGTGGCCGAGTCGAGAAAGCTATTCGCCGTGCAAGAGTCAGCGGAGACGATACTCAAAGGAGACCGGCAAGCGCTCGATGCGGCGTTTCATTTCTTTCGCTCCTGCGATGCGTGGAACGCTTACGAAAATGTCCGTGCGCTGAGATCGACGCACGTGCGCGCGGCGGCCTTCTCCTCCTTCCTCTTCTTCTGCTGGATGGCGTCCTGGCTTCACGTCAACTCACCCATGTTCAACGTGTCTTCCCTAGACCTGGTCTCCAGCGGGTCGTCGCCGATGCCGGCCCCGTCGTCCGAGGGAAGCTCCACCTCCTCCCTTACCACCTCCTCCGCTTCCTCGACTCTTGCCTTCCGCACCTTCTTGGCCTGCGCAGAATAGACAGTAAGATACTAGAGGCCAGGGGCAACGCGCCTTGCGCTTCGGCTTGTCAAGGGCGGGGCCGGCGTCCAAGCGCTGCTCCGCCTCGTCGTCCTCCTCCACAACCTGACGCAGCCACAGCAAAAGTAGGCGGCGGTCGCGAAAAGAACGAGAAAGAACACCAGCCGGGCCTGACGGGCGCGCTTGCATCGCCTTGCTGCTGCTCCCGCCGCGGCTGGCCGTTCCGTTGGTGCGGCCTGGTCAGTGTGACAGCTTCAACAAAAACAACGGCTCTCGGAAGAAGCACTTCCGGAAAGGACCCAGCCTGCGGTGGGGACCCGTTCAGAATCGGGGCTTCGGCCCGACCAGAAGGGCGGCTCACGGAGAGCTTGCAAGCAATGTCTATTTATGGCGGCATCTGCCACGTCAGCTTTCAACGCCTGGGCGGCAGCCGCTTCGGCGGCGGGAGGCAGCATATCGGCGACGACCACGGCCTGCGCATGGCTGCGGGTGCAGGGCCGCAAGACATGTTGCAGTGCGCGGTGACATGTACTTCGCTGCCTCCTCTTCCACGGCTGCTGCGGGCTCCGCCACCGCCACGGGCGTAAGCGGCGGAGCTCGCGGCCATTGAAGAGGGAGGCTGCCTGGCAATCAGCGCTCTGGCGGCTGTCCCACAGTCAGCAAGATGCACTAATCTCTCCCGATCCTGGACTGCCATCGTGCGAGAGATGGAAAGAAGGAGCGAAAGGCGGGCTTGCTTGAGGACAAGGAGCGGCTGCGACGTGCAGGCTGTGGGCTGTGTGCGGCGAGAACTGATGCCGTGAAGGTTTTTTTGGGTTTGTTTTTGGTTTAGGGCTTAGGGTTTAGGGTTTGGGTTTTAGGGTTTAGGGTTTAGGGTTTAGGGCTTGGGCGTGGGCTATAGCTATGGTTACTTCCAACCCTAGGATCCGTACCAAAACCTTGCTGACTCAGTCCCCTCATCCTGCAGGTATGGGGCTCTCTGGACAAACTAAACCCTTAGTCCTGAACCCTCAAACCAAACCCTAACAAAACCTGAAACCCTAAACCCTGAACCTAAAACCCTAAAACCCTAAACCCTAAACCTAAAACCCTAAACCCTAACTAAACCTGAAACCCTAAAACCCTAAACCCCAAACCCCTAAAAAAACCGTAAAACCCGTAGAAGCGGCCCTGCCAGTCCGGAAGCCGAGTCAGCTCGTTGTTCAGTAAGTTCAACCTCCAAGGCGATCTTTGGAAGTGCTCGGTTTACGGTTTAGGGTTTAAGGGTTTAGGGTTTAGGGTTTAGGGTTTAGGGTTTAGGGTTTCGGGTTTAGGGTTTAGGGGCTTAGGGTTTAGGGTTTAGGGCTTAGGGCATAGGGTTTAGCGTTTAAGGGTTTAGGTTTAGGGCTTAGGGCTTAAGGTTTAGGGCTTCGGGCTTTGGGCTTAGGGTTCAGGGTTTAGGGTTTAGGGCTTAGGGTTCAAGGTTTATAAGGTTTAGGGGTTAGGGTTGAGGTTAAAGCCCGACAGCCCTCCACAACTCCAAAATTTGAAGGCCCTAGTTTCCAAAGCCGAAGCCCGTAAACGCTAAGCTGTAAACCCCCCCTAAACCCTAAACCCTGCGCCCGGAACCCTTCAACCCAGAGGTGCAAGCCCTACCAGCACGGAATTCCGGCTCCCCTACTTGCAGGTTCATGGGTGTTTGTAGGTGGAGTTATAAGTCCGCTAATATAGGTTCTAACTATAGTTACCCTACTTATAGCCCTACTTATAACTAACTCGAACCACGTACAACCAGGCGGCACTCAGAACGCCAGTGAAGCACAATTACTGGAGGGGCCTTGATAAGCCCTGTTGATTCGCCGGCCGAATCTGACCATTCGGACGTCCTCCACACCCCACCTCTTGTCCTCTTGTCCTCCGAACGGGGGGCGGGGAGGGGTCCCTTTGAATGAACCCGACAAGCCGTGAAATCTCACCTCCTCCAACCCCCTCCCCTGCCCCCCCCCCCCCCTGCCCAGCACCAGCGGTTCGTTGGCGCTCTTTGTTTGCGGCCGGGCCGAGGCGGACGACGCGAAGCGTTTTAAATTAGAGTAGGGTTTTGGGGCCCATTTTACCACAACTATACCAAGGAACCCCCAAAATAGTATAGGTAATTAATTAGGCCCTTACAGTAGGTTCAGTGTATCATGGCTACAGCAAGGACATGGGGAGGCGAGTATTAAGGATTCCGACCCTGTTTTATGATTGGCAGAGGTCACGCCAAAGTGCGGACTCCGCGGCGAATCATAGGATAGAGCACAATTCGAAACTCTGTGCAACAGGTGCGCTTGCAATTCGGTGCTGTTCAGTCTTCCGGATGATACTTGCTTACATGGTCTCTACAGAAACCGAGCTTAGCACATGCTCAAAGTGAATTTCTTGTTATCGCTCGGAGGTTGGTCTTCACTGAGGCATCGGAAGTCTCTGTGAAGCCGTATGTGGCGACCATCCAACAGGGGAGGGACTGGTTGCTCTGCGGGTAGGTGAGGACGTTGGCGGCGCCCCACGTGTTGTTGAAAGCGATGATCTGGTTCACTCCCATCCTGGTTTCGCCGCCCCCACCCCCCATTCTCTCTAGCTCTCCCCTTCTGTATGGCAAACGACATGTACTGCCTAGCGTGTGGGACGACATGTAGTGACATGCGGCAAACCCTGCTAGCGCTGCCAAGGGCCAGTCCTTTTGGCTGTAGCGGCTGGGTCTGCAGCTCCCTTTCTGTAGCGGCTGGATTCACCAGCGTCTTTAGCGATGACCTACCCTGTAGCGGGCTTGCAGTGCTCACATGATGGTTATCGTGGTCATCTAGCTTCCACCACATGCGGCGGCTGCATGGGCAGTAGCGACAGTCTGGACAGACTTTAGCGCATCTAAAAATAGCGTTCTCAAGGTCCGACTGCCCAATAGCGGTGCGGCAGGGCGCCACATCTAGCTCCATGTAGCACCCCCGCGGCAGCAGGTCGGTAGCGAGGCGCCTGGCGTGCGCCGAGGTACTAGCGCACGGTCCTCCTCCCCCAGGTCCAGTAGCTCTGGGTGCAGCCTGACATCCCAGATAGCCTGTTCCCGTAGCGTCACTTGCCCTTCTCCTTGGCCTCGTAGCGGGGCCTAGGCCCGGTCTCGCCTGGCGATTTGCTCCAGGACCCTAGCGGCCAATAGCTGTCCAAGTGAGGTCCAGCTTGAAATTTCCTGCAGCACGTCAAAGATGGCCCCCCAGGATAGCGTAGTAGCAGTAGCCTTCATGGCAACTCGGATCCAGGATAGCAGGTAACTGGTCGATCTTGCTCGCTGTGGACCTTCTGGACGCTCTCTTTGGGCGCCACTTCCAGGCGGAACCTGGGGCCACTGCCGGCGTGTCTGAAGGGGTTGAACCCCTTTTTGCGCCAGGTGGCCCAAGACTTACCTGTTGGCTCAAGTTGCAGGTGGCCGCCACCCTTGCGGGCAACGCGCTCGCACCCTAGCCCATGCCAAATCCAACAAAAATAACAAGCTGACAACAAAGAAACAGACGGACTGACAGACAAACAGGCACACAGACCCACACGTCTATTTATCCTAAAGCTGCTCCGAGGTCTCACACAACACGTCGTGCAGTGCCGAAGTCTTGACAACACTTGTATCTCAGACAGCCACAGCCATACTTGTCCTGCGAAGGAGAACATATCCCCGACACTGACAAACTATACCGACTATACCTACTTAAAACATTCTAAGAAAAGGTCCCAGAAGATACACGTCCATGGAGCTTTGCCCCGTAAAATAGAGCAACACGCAGCTCGAATTGTATGTAGCAGGTACTCCGAGCGCAGGACTTATACCCCAACATCCCCCCGAAAAAAAGGAAGAACAAAAGTTGCCTCCCAGCCCTCAACCCCAATGGCGCTGAAGGGTGTCAGCCCTAAAGCCCTAAAGCCCTAAAGCCCTAAAGCCCTAAAGCCCTAAAGCCCTCAACCCTAAAGCCCTAAAGCCCTAAAGCCCTCAACCCTCAACCCTAAAGCCCTAAAGCCCTGAAGCCCTAACCAAAGCCCTAAAGCCCTAAAGCCCTAAAGCCCTAAAGCCCTAAGCCCTGAAGCCCTGAAGCTCTACAGCCCTCAAGCCCTAAAGCCCCAAAGCCCTAAAGCCCTAAAGCCCTGAAGCCCTGAAGCCCTAACCGAACTCGAGGTTCCTTTTAGACTTGCTTTCGGAAGATCACTTCATCCCGAAATCGTAGGGTATTGGGTT